AGACTTGCCACGGTCTCCAACCCTCCTCCTTTCTCATCCGGGCTTGGGACCGGCCATGGCGGAGTTCCGAACTGGAGCTTATGTCACAAATTCAGATTAAAAATTAGTCAACCAAAAAAAGTACTGTTAGGCTGGAGCAGGTGAAAAAAAATGAAGAGGGTAGAGAAATAGTGAAAAACCTTTTCTCTTTTGATACCGGACTGAAACAGCATAATCACACCGTTCCCTTGTTTCTAGTTGCCTAGGGGACCATTTAAGAAGTGAAAAACTGCATCTGCTTCGACCAGGAGGACGTTCATATGCGACGCGATCAATAAAACGGAAATTTGACGTAGAAGGAAAGGAGGATAGCGGGCGTTCTACTCATCAAGGAAATTCTACTTTAAAAAAACGACAGATCAATGCAATCGCATTCCAGCGATTCAATATGGCTGCAAAACATGGCTGTTGACGAAATAATGGAAATGCCATCTTCTGCTTACTAAAATAGATATGGAAGGAAGGATGTTAAAAATTTCATTTCGCAACCATATCCCCATTGCAGATATCAGATATAAAAAGGAGTGAAAGATATCATCGTGAAATGCAGAGGGAGGAAGACGAGATGTGCTAGGCACGTAGCACAATTTACGGACCACCAACAGATAGCTGCTATCGTCAAGTGGTACAACCAACCGAGCCTCAAAAGAGAGGGATGAAGATACGGATTAAAGGGGTCGAAAAACGTTACTGGGTCGATATATGGAAGGGCGGGACAATTAAATCAATGGCTCTGAAAGACCAGTGCGGTAAAGCAAGGCACGGACAAGAGAAAACTGTCAACGGTGTTGTGATCGGCGCAATCTATGGGACTTCTGAATATTCATCGATCATAGAAATTATAGAAATGCAACTGCTAAGAAGAACCGATTACTTTACATTCATCACGTTTGAAGGTGTTTCCATTTTGTACAATTATTTGCTGATTACCTTCCATAACGGATGAAGCACATGACATATGTTCTCCACAAATCTAGCTTAAAAACCGCTGTCGCTAAGAGCAGGGATCGCAGTCAGACCAAAATACGACAGAGAACATTCTGCCAAATCGTGGAGACCTGCTATGCACCCTTAAACGGTCCGTTAACGAGAGAGTAATAACCAGGAATTGATATACCTCCTTTCGTCTTACAGGTAAATCTATCGAAGGAAAAGATCTACCGAAGGAAATGCAATCAAGAATGAATGGAGTGGAGCCACCTCGATATTAAACTCAGACAAAAGCATGGTGGTATATCTTAATCATTTGAATTGATGCCCAAAACTTCGAGTTGAGATGAATGGAAAATTCTAAAAACAAATATTCGATAATGCTAGGAAAGAGGAAGAAAAATTACACCCGTTGCGCCCGTTGGTTGGTGAAGACAGGGTGTTCCAGTGAAGTAATAATGTTCGTCACAATTGTACTTTGATTTTGTCATTTATTTCAACGGAACGTAACATCATTATTGTCCACATGACGCATCTGCTAATGCAGAAGGTTCTGTTTGTGTTTCATGACATAGCATTACACTCATCGGATAGGAACCTTGCTCTTTACTCAGCATTTGTCACCTGTCAAGATTGCTCTGATCCACAGCACGAATGAATCAGACGCGTGAGAAAAACTTTTGGAAAGTGGCAGAAACTGAAAGGCTGATTAGTTCTCGATTTCGACAAAATTTAAGATGACAAAAATCTTAAGATGAGAAATTATTTAATAAAGAATTCTGGCAACGTACCCAATATTTGATCGGTCTGCCGGTCGAATGATCAATACCCCATCTGAAATAGATCAAAACTATGACACACGTTATCGAGGCTGAGTAGTTTTTTGTTACCCCAAGATTCGAACTGAATGATATCCAGATCGAGTGTACTGTGAGCCTTTCTGTGCGGCTATAGGTTCATGTTGATATACACCTTCTTTGTACATGAAGAAATCTTCGTGAACAAGGAACGTCGCTAAAAATGACTGGTAATTTTTCTAACTCATGAACTTTGTCAATGGCATAATACCTTGTACGGGACCATTGACCATTATCTCAGTCATGATGTCTTCCTCCTGAAATTTGAATAAATCAGCACTCAGTTTCGGCTTGAGTAATCCCCGAAGTTGCCGTACCTTGGAGGAGATTCGGTATGCCGGAGTCATCTTGAAGACTCTGTTGTCACTAGGGTCGTTCACGCAATAGACTTTGTGGTCATGTGGAATCTTGCAACTCTCTTGTTGGCTTGTGCTTCCGCTAACGTATGGATAGCATTCTTCGCTCACAACTCTAAAACAAGCCCAAATGTATCGCAATTTCAATAACGCGGATGTCATACCAATTTTGGAGGTCCGTACAGCGTACAGTTGTAAGTTTTAAAAGCACAAAAATACTTTATTGAGTTTTAAAGTTCCTTTGACTCCATAGACTCCATCATTCTGATCATACTGTAACAATCAGTTTGGTGTGAGGATATGAGAAGGTGATGAGGAACGCTAGATGATCTACACAAAGAACAGCGCAATTTTGCCATTTACCAGCGACCAGGTAGACAATTTATGTTGCACCTGTCAAACTCCAGCAAGACTTGGCTGACAATACCTAATGTAGTTTTCCTTCAGGAGGGTAGACGACGTGGCTGCTCAAGCTTGAGAAAGGGTATTAAGTCAAATTTCATGACTTGAACGTTCACGTGAAGATGACGTCATTTGTTTCCATTTTCAGACAACATCCACCAAGAATCGTTGGTGTGTTTTCTACCCACCCCTGCCAAAGAATCGTTAACATATGTTCGGAGGGTAGACGACACGCGAAAACTTTTCACCGAGCTTTTGGGAGGAATTCCAAAAGTAGCTTTTGACCCTTCCGTCTGTTCATGAGAAATAATCGTTTGTTGGAGTCGCAACAGACGAGCAACAAATATAGTGAAAAATATGAT